TTACAACTACTCATAGAATCTCATTATAAAGAAATATTTTGTAATAAAAGATTTAAAATTGATATTATTCTTTTAGCTAGATTAGTTCAACTATAATAAAGTGCTGTATGTGCTGCTATTAACATATCAAAATTTCTTTGTAAAAATAAACAAATAAATAAAATCTGAACTAATCTATAAGTATATCTATGATCTGGCCTACTATTAGTATATAAAGCTAATATTTTAGATAAATCTTGATTATAATAATTATTTAAAATTTGATAAAATTTAGTAGTATATCTAAGTGCTGTACTAGATTAAAATATAGTATCTTTATATATTATATATACTTGACTATTATCAAATGATTCTATTAGATTATCAGGTATTGTAGCTATTATTGTTACAGATGGTATTAAAGATAATTTAGTAAAATTATGATTATTAGCTACTAATGTTACATTTGTAGCAATAGCTGAATAGTGATTGCATACACCAGTTGAAGTTGAAGTATCTTCTTCTATAGGAATTTTATATTTATCATTAGCAAAAATTAATCCAAGATTATTTTTAAATTTTACTAAAAAATGTTGAAGATATTAAAAAATTGCTCTACAATTATACCTATTAGAATGAGATTTTTATAAAAAATATACTTGAACTTTATATTTAATTTCAAATTGGTCTATATATTCTGTATTAGCTTTAGCCTAAAGATCTTAAAAAAAAATTGATAACTAATCCATCTTTCAAAAGGTGTTGCAATACTATCAAAATCTGTTATATTAGATAATTTATTTTTAATCTGTATAATAATTTGATCACTAAGGTTACATATAGAAATAATGATAACATATAAAGTATTGATCTATATCTATAATCTTAAACTGCTGGAGTATTCTATTATAAATAAATTTATTAAAAAATTTAAATATATATATAGTAAAATTTGTATATAGCAAAATTAAACAAAACTTAATATTTAAAATTTTAAATTTATCAAATTATAGTATTAAGTATTAAATAATTATATAAATTTAACAAATATTTGATCTTGTTTTAAACTTTATAATAACTGTCACAGATCATAATGAAATCAGATTAAAATAAAATGTGGGGTTTTTATTTGACTCTCTAAAACTTATTTATACTTGTTTATTATAAAACCTTTCTTTAAACCTAATCCTAACTCTAAAAAAATGCTAAAAAATGTATCCAAAAAATTTGTATTTTTGAGTGGCTTCTCTA